TTTTTTTGGTTTTTTGGATTGGTCAAGCATTAACAGCTCAGTCGTATCTCCATAAATTTTGATGAGCAATACCTTAAACGACGCCGAATGAAGCTTTTTTCGACTTTTCTCGACTTTTAAAAGTAAAAATTTCGTAAAATATATTCGTTACAAAAATCAACATTTTTCCATTTCCAAGCCTAATAAAAAGTGTTTTAGCTGCATCAAAGAGCTTTTCAGATAAACAAAGTTCTTTATATCCAGATCTAAGATACTTAAGTTATGTAAAAAAAAAACAAACCGCTACCTGTAAAAAAAAACTTTAAAAAAAAATTCCAGATTTCAAAAATTCTTAAAAAAAAAGTTGTCTTCAGACCATTTCTAAGCCCCATATCTTTCATAAAAAGTTGGTTTCGTTCCTTGAGTTAAAATCGTGTCTGGTAGTGTTATTTATGTATTCCTATTGAAGCGCAGCAATCCAACGATGTTGCTGCTATACTTATTTGGGCATATCGAATATTTCTTCAATTTACTTCCCGCTAAAATATAAAATTGTTTTACAAATAAATTATCAAAGCATTTGAAATCCACTTTCCAATTGGTAGCCTTATCGCGGCCATTTGTTGCACTATACGACATATAAAATGGATGTTTGTTGTCCTAAAAATGTTATTCGTCCCTCATTAGAAGCAGCCTTAATCATTGCTTAATTGCAGTCGCTGCTGACCTGCTCTTTAAATGATTTATGATGCAGAACCCTCAGGAAAAATATCCCTCATCTCATACTATGGTGGAGTCGGTCGGTACCCCGGCTTCAATAAAGTGAATAAGGTGACATAAACAACAAGCGGCGAGCCTTTTTTTATGATACTTGTGAATCCCGCTGTGTGCTGAAGCAGATGCATACTTCTCTAAACAAGAACACAAGAGCAGCAACAACAACGTGGAAAAACGGGGAAAAAATACCAAAATAAATAAAAAAAAGGGAAAACAATTGTAAACAATGAAAAATGAGTAGGGACGTGAGGCGCTTCGTAGGCGTAACAACTTTTATACCCGGTACTCAGTCAGTATATATGTATGTATGTATGTACATTTATAAGTACATATATAGGTATGCATGCAACCTGTATGTAATAAACATGTATGTAACATTTTTATTTTTTTTTGTTTTTTCGAATTTTAAATATGGAGGCTCCAACTCTCAAAGTCCCTGAGTACTATCCGACAAGCAAGTCGGACAGTGAAAACTCTCGGACAGCTCTCAAAGTCTCTGAGTACTAGCCGACAAACAAGACGGACAGTCGGACGGATAGACGGACAAACAGGCATGGCTAAATCGACTCGGCTATTGATTCTTATCGAGGATATATGTTATGGAGTCGAAAACGTTTCCTTCTGTGCGTTACATACATCCACTTTCGAGCAAAAATTCAATACACCCTTTTTACTCTTCAAGCATCGGGTATAAATAAGGAAAATCCCCTTAACTTTGGCACAAATTTTTCATTTATTTATTGAGACGAGACGAGACACAGGAAAAAAGGACCTAAGGCGGTGGTGGCGGGGCAGAGGAGTCTGAGATGAAGGTCTGATGCCGGCTCCGAGTGGAGTGTCTTGCCAGCCAAAAGTACAATTTCGCTGTTTCAAACGCGCCATCCGCTCGGTCCCCGTCTCTTCCACTCTCTAGCCAGTCTTCCCCGCGGTTAAGTGAATCGGACAATTTAATTTATGCGCAAAATGACAGACAAACTTCATTAGGGAAGGAAACTTGCCCACCCACTGAAAGAAATTGTCAGTCAAATGTCAATGAAATTCGATATTTAATTTCTTTCTGATTTTGCTGGCCTTTATCTGCAGGATATATCAAATTTTTCATTTACAAAATATTAACATTTTTATTGCCAGCAAAAGAAGCAAAAGAAATATTTATATTTATCGGTTTTTATGTGATTCCTTGATACTCCTCGAACTATGATTTCTGCTTGTATACAAATGTTAACCTTAATTGAACAGAATGTGTCGGGAAAGCCTAGAGGGGATGGTAGTTTGGAAAATGGCATATATCAGAAAAGTTTAAATGCGCCAAATCGATGAATGCCCGCAGAAACCTTCTTTCGCGCATGGTCTTGGAGACTTTATGGCTGGAGAAGACTTTTTTTTAGCACCAAGCTTTTTGGTCTCTAAACGAGCTCGGGGAGGGGGACCTCCACAGCTCCACAGCTCCCGAGCACCCCTCCATCGGGTGGCTTCGATGGTACAGCGGGGAGTCGCATTGTTCCCCCTTAAAACTTTGTCGAGGCTCTCTGCCGAAAAGTTTACCTTGTATTTGCACAAGTTTTTCGGTGGAGCGGGGTGCGAGTTGACTTTGTCACTTTTGTTGTCTGCAGGAAGCCTAATGGTGGGAGGCACGTTTATTATAACCGTGCAAAAAGGTGTCCGGGGACTGTACTGTGTGTAAATCCCCCTCTAAATGAATTGTATAATCGCAGGCGTCTGTCTCGCCCCCAGTCCCAGTGTCACTCCAGAGTTGATGCTCCTTCTGTCCTGTTGCTGCTGCTCCTGCCCTCCTGCTACTCCTGCAAACTGTAAATAATGAAGTTTGCATCTCTGACGGTTGGTGGCAAGTGGCAAACCTGCGAAAAGAGCTTTTGGGCACAAAATATGTATGTATACATATACATGTACAAGCATGTGCACATTCGTATCCGAGAAATTGTTGCAAAAATAGTCCGCGTCTCATGTGCAAAAATGTATGAGCAACATAAAGAAAAGTAATAGAAATGCAGAACGGATTGCCTCCGAAGACTGTTTGCTTATGCATTATGTTCTATTTTTTGTGCTCGAAAAATGTGACACACAGAAGGAATCGTCTCCAAACGTGTAAAGTATATTTAGAATATAGGAACAAAGAAATATAGTTTCTAGTGGGTCTAATGGGAATCGTAAAGTTTACGCGACTCAACAAGTCGGGGCTGTCTACATCCCCCTTGATCAAGTTATGCATAAAAATTACACCAAGCACTAAGGATGGAAGATTTATTAAAAGAAGTCTACTAGGGTAGGATGGCAGTCTCACAGTTGCATCCCAGTTGAGGCCCCGTAGGGCAAATAATAAAAAGCTTTTCTCTACTGATTCAATACGGTCGTGATGTATGTTGTACGCTTCGTACGCAACTTATACCCGGTACTCAGTCAGTATGTAAGTATGTATGTACATTCATATTTATGTTAATTTAGTTTGATACATACATATGAATGTATGTACAGATCGAATTATGCCTTGCACGAACCCTTTAGGGTTTTATGCTCGGATTATAATTCCTTCTATCACATTATATGTCTCTTCTTAAATCTCTTCTTAACTACCTCTCCCGTAGTTAGTTTCATTTTAGCTTTGTCTTGTTTCTGACTTTGATAATTTTGATTGCTTAGCTATAGTTGCTCTAATTTAGTTGTGTTCTAATTTTCCTCGAATATTAGCCTAACATCGCGCGTCATGCGGCAGCGCCCCACGGTCGGTTGGGCGGGAGGAGGGCCACTTGATGGTGCAGTCATTGCATATCAACGTCCAGACAAAGTTCCAACTCGTTTTCATGTATGGGTGCTGCTCCTGCTCATTAAGACCAGAACAAAAAAGTATCAGCATCGCATAGAATACCCAGTAGTGATAGATAAGTAGATGGATAGGAAGTAGATTGAAAGAGAGATTAAACAGATTGAAAGAAGCAATTTAAGCATTTTATAACCAAATGTTATTAGAATATTTCTTTGATATTCATTAAATAGCTAAGCCGAATTATAAGCTATAGTTTTGCCATCTTTTACTTCCTTTTCTTGTGCTAAATACCGGCTGTATAGGTAATCATGGCGCTGTGCAATGTTTGTACCCATTTCCCGGTATTTTCCAGGTCCCCAGAACGCAAAACGTGATGCGCATCTTTCGCACTGCGGCGGCTCCGTCAGCCTCCCTTGCGTTTTGGCTTTGGCATTGGCTTTGGTTTGGGGGCACTTTGGCTTTGACTTTTGGGTTACAGTTTGTGTTTTCTCGGGAAGGATTGTGGAACAGTGAACTGGTACAAAAGTTTCGTTCAAGCCTGCAGGAAACTTTGCTCCTAATGGGAATTGGAGATGGAGTCCTGTGACTGTGACTGGGTCTCTTAAAGCGTCGACGAATGCAAATGCAAATGGCTTTGAGAGGAATTCGCTTTAAATAAGCGCTTAATTGTCTGCACTTTAGCGCGGCTCACAAAAGGTGCAACAGTGTGGGAAAATGGGGAAATGCAGCCTAAATAATTTATAAATTTTAAATGCATTTTTCTTACACTTCAATTAAGGCTATTCTAAAATTTTCAATTTTCAAATTTTGTTCTTTCTTAAATTTTGCCTTAATTTTTTCTTAATTCAAAAAATGCCAACAAAAGTTTTTTATACTCTTGGAAGGTTTATTGAGAATTAAATAAACATTTTCCAGAGCGAAATAAGTGAACTTATAATTTCAAAGGAACTTAAGTTTCTTAAATTAACCCAAATTTAAAATTCGTAAATTGTATTTAATTGCTCAAATACGCCTCCTTTGCTATTTAAAATGTATGTTATGCGTCCTGGCATTCTATATATCATTCCTAGAAGTAAGCATGTATCAAAATTCGACCATTCCTTCACAATATCCTTTTTATACCCCGTACTCGAAGAGTAAATAGGGTATATTGTATTTGTGTGAATAACGGTTGTACGTAACGCACAGAAGGAAGCGTTTCCGACCCCATAAAGTATATATATTCTTGATCAGCATCAATAGCCGAGTCGATAGAGCCATGTCTGTCTGTCCGTCTATCCTTCTTGTGTGTCGGCTAGTTCTCAGAGACTATAAGAGCTAGAGCCACCAAATTTTGGCTCCAGACTGCTGTATGCTCACACTGAAACCAGTGTATTTCAAAAATTAGCCCCGCCCCCGTAAAAGGGCGAAATCATTAATCCTAATCATTAATATGTATTTCTTTGTATTTTTTTCGCTGCAGAATCAACTTGCAACGTGGACCAATTCCGCTGCGGCAATGGCAATTGTATTCCCCAGAAATGGGTCTGCGATCATGAGGCTGACTGTACCGATGGTACCGATGAGTTTCTGCCACTTTGCAGTAAGTACTATCATCCCTTAGACGTAACTTTAGTTCATTTTTAACAAAAGTGTTGCAACGACTTATTGGTGAAATTTCCCTACTGTTGCAAGAGCAGTAACTCTGTGCCAGCCCCATGAGGTGATGTGTTCGAATACGGAGCAGTGTATACCAAGCGGTTGGCTCTGCGATGGCGACTTCGATTGCCGGGACAGGTCCGATGAGCAGGATTGTAGTAAGCAGACGTCACATTTGCATACTAAGAGGAGGATTTTCCTTTGGCTCATCAATAAACCAAAAGCAAAACAAAAACAATTATTTAATCGAAATTAAACCATTAACTATAAACCATATACCATTTTCTGACTCCCTTTATAACTGGACACTGAGGGTGGGACTGAAAACTCTGATTTTGAGGCTGAGACTGAGCCTGATTTTCTCCTTAGGCATAAATTAACATAATTTCTGATGGACAATATCGCGACTTGACCATCAGCGGAACTAATTTATATTTATGCATCCATTTTACTGCTGCTTTTGTGCCTTTTCGTGTGTAGTTGTTCCTTCATAAAAGTACACTCCACCGCAACTTGTTTAACGGTTTATTGTCTGTGACACATTCTCCTACCTACATATGTGAAAGGAAATCCCAAAAACTTCAGAGCGCCAGAATGTCAGCGGCAAAAATGTTTTTTTATGTTTGAAGGAGCATTTCGGAATTGTAATTGAAAAAATGATGCGATTTTTATGTTGATGGAAATAAAAACAGGTAATCAAAGGCAAGTGCAGGAGCCAAATTGAGCCTGAGGTTTTATATGGAGTTGAGCTGCTCAGGATGTGAAGGTTACATTAAAATATATGTGCATGTACATTGGTGTATGTGTGCTTTTTTCACGACCTTTATGAGCTTTAAAATTGTTATCAAACCTTGTTGTCATTCAAGCTTTTATCCCCACACCCTTGGCCCCTCTTCGCTCCACACATACTCCGCCCTGCGCCTTGTCAACTCATCGCCCATGTTGATTCTAATTGATGTTACTTTTGGTCAGGCAAAGGTTCATGAAAATCGGTGGACATATAGCCTCGATTTGTATGCTCTTGCAGAGCTTTGACAACCAAATATGATCTGGTTCGTGAAGCAATTTTGCAGCTTAAAAATAGGCATCCTTCGCCGCAATGCAAATGTCTGACTTAACAGGAGGGGAAATAAGATTCATTCAATGCCCTTGGTTCGCTATTTAATTCCATTTAACACTCGACTTTGACACTTCATAACTTTGTTTGACATTCTGGGTCCCAAAACTTGCAAAACTTGTCGGAACAATGACGCGAAGGCAAACTGCTTAATAAACAAAACAAATTACAAATACTATATATATACGCTATGGCGTCAGATAACAAGAAAATGCTATTGAATACAATACGAAAATTATGTGATTGTGTGTGTGTGTATGTATAAACCAAGGTACTATGGAATTTGGGCATCTTTCTGGCCAAAACCCATTTTTCAAAAGTACCTGAAACAGATGGATCTGTAGTCCGAAATTGAAGAGTGTTAAGTTAGCTGCTATTTATCAGAGCTTTTAGATAGCGATGTTGAAATACCATAAGCTATACAATTAATAAACTTAAGTTAAATTTTGTTACTTTTATACCCTGTACTCAAAGAGTAAAAAGTGTATATTGTATTTGTGGTCGAAAAATGTAACAGACAGAAGGAAACGTTTCCGACCCTGTTATTTATGTATATATATTCTTGATCAGTATCAATAGTCGAGTGGATATAGCCATGTCTGTCTGTCTGTCCGTCCGTCGTTCTCAGATAAATATGAGAATCTTTAAGTTAAAAATTTTTAAAAATACGGGCACACCTTTTTTTATATAATATAGCTTGTATATTGTTTGTTTTGTAATGAGTCTTTGCTGTTTGACGTACTTGTCATTAATTATCTTTATTGTAAAATCGAACTTATATGTATATCAAAATAAAGAGGGCGAGTTGTCCCATGCAGGTGTAACATTAGCGTGGTAATCCAGCACTCCGAATTACACGTCGCATGGTCAATATGCTGACGTTATAATTCGGGTTGCGGCACTTGTTCCCAATGCCATATGGATCGCCTTTCGCGGAAGCGGTAGCGTCCGCGGCTGCATTTCTTTATATTGCAATTTGATGGTTTCACCTTTGCGATGTAATTGCTTTTATGTTCATGTAGCAATTGGCAGTTAGACTCAATTTTCAACTTAAGACAAGGCGTTGAATACCTTCCTCTCAAAAAATATTCTATTTTTTGGAATTCATTCATTTTTGGTCGAAAGTGGTCCAATTCCCCATAGTGCAAGGTCCAGCCCAGGTCCATTCATGGTGACCCTCTCCCACAACAGCAAATTGATTTTGCCACGGCTTACTAAAGCTGAAGCTGAAGCAGTGTCCGTGATCGTGTTCCCCATGGCCCCACGAGTGAAGACTTCATTTCAATCAGCCAACTAAAAGTACTGGTTGTGCCCAAGCAGGAAATTAAGCCCTGGTGACCCAGCAATGTGAAATTTAATGATGCCATCAATTGTGACAGCAAAATTATAGTGGATAATTAAAAGCTTTGTGACAGAAAAAAAAGGGGAGGGGCTGAGGAGAAGAAAGAGTAAGAAGCTAAGCTTAAATTAAATTTAATGTATATATAGAAAATCAGTCGGAATGTTTCTTTTTTGTACAAACAAATTCGAAAAGCTGGTCACCGTAAATTCAAATAAAAGGCATATCACTCATAGGACGAGTTGTGCATGCCAAGCAAGCAACAAAAAAAAATATATATATGGGAGTACATATACATATCTACATAGAAGAAAATAATAATGAATTAATTTATTTTCAACGATGTCAGAAATGTTCCTCATGGATGTGCACGTGTAAACGGAAAGCAAATAGACAGTAAGACAAGATATGAGAGGAATCTGAAACAGAAATGAAGAGACCGAAAGAGAGAGGTAGAGAGGGAGCATAAAAGGTAGAAGAGACACTAAAAAGCATATTCAATATATGCCGGCCCCCGGTCGTAAGATTTTATTGCTCCAAAGAGCGCACAGAGGCACACAGGAGCGTGTCACAAACAGACAGCGTAAAGTACATAATCATATCAGAGAAAAATCATACATTGCCACATAAGCTACTTTCGCTCACGCATGCAGACACATAGGAAGACACACACACATATAAACAAGGGAACACTCAGAGACACAAATACACACACTGAGACAAAGAACTTTCTTTTAACGCGCCGGATGGTAGGCCCAAAAAAACAACAAAAAATTCCGGCAATGAAAAAAGTACGAGACAGAAACACACTTAAGAAGAACTGGCATACTAATTCGCATTAAGGGTTAAACACAAGCGTTTTTATGCTCATCTCTACATGTTGGTGTAAGCGTGTATGTATTTATCAACGTGTGTGTGCGGGAGTGTGTGTTTGCGTGCGCGTCTGCGTTTGGGAGTGTTGTCAGCTTTATTAAACGTCCGTGTGACTCTTGGGCTTGTGAATAACTTCAATGAAAGTTTCAGAGACGACTGCGAGCGGGAGGAGCTGTGTTTGTGTGTGTCTGGTGTGGTTCTTCTGTGTGTAGATTGTGTGTGGGTGTGGTGTGTTCTCTGAGCTCTTGGTGTCTGCGATAATTGCTTTAATGCATACACATGTGTGCGTTTTAACTTTATGGAGTGTTGGCTGATAATGTCTTAATTACTGCCTAGATAAAATGCCAACTGTTTATCCCTGAATAGTTTCTCATGGTCCTCTCTCCCTACTGCTGCACGTTGCTGTGTGTCTACTGACATGACAACTATGTTTATTACTTTGCCTTCCATCGGGGTGTACGTACGTCCCTCTGCAGCCGCTTATAAACTGAATTACAAGACAACACTTGGGTGCCTACTTTAAGGATGTCTTCTGTAGCCCACACTGTGGGCGAAAGATAATGCAAAGATAAACAGAAAATTTAGAAATGGAGTGAAGCAAGTGTTCTTCTTTCGCTCAGTGTCCTTGATGGCTGTGCTTTGTGCCATCAGGACATCAGTAAGTAGGCTACTTTGCAGGCAATATCAGAAACCAAAACCTTATCTCTTAAGGAGGTTACTTTTTCGATTATTTTTCTTCCTTAATAAAAACTCACAACTATTTTTTTACATATTTTGTTTTTACAGCGCGAAAGACTTGCTCACCGGAGCAGTTTCAGTGCAAATCTGGCGAGGGTTTGTGTATACCCCTGTCATGGATGTGTGATCAGAACAAGGATTGCGACGATGGCAGCGATGAGGCGCAGTGCAGTAAGCCAGCCTTGCCCTTCCCTCTTAAAAATGTCTTTTCTGTCTCTGTTTTGGTGTTGGTGAAATTTATTTATTGGTTTTTCTGTTGCTGCTTTATTATATTTCACCCCCTGCTTTATGGTATTCCTCCTTGCCTGATGTATTCCCGTTCGTCCTATATGTATATGAACCCCCCTGCTATCTGTTTCCTCTATTGACACACATTTGTATTCCTCTGCAAGTTATGTAACTCCTCCTCTTTTGCTTAGTTTATTGGCAGCTTTTATAATAGTGTTGAGTTATGTTGCATTCCATTTTACCTGTGGGGTAGAGCATACATCATACATACATACATGCATATATCACTTCACTAATCTGCCTGTAAATCCTCCACTTCCAAAACCCCTTAAGATGTCTTGCTAATCCCATATTCCGAACTCCCTGCAGATGCCACCTGCCGCTCGGATGAGTTCACCTGCGCGGGTGGCGACTGCATTCAGAGCCGCTGGAAATGCGACGGTGATCACGACTGCATGGACGGCTCCGATGAGCTCAACTGCCCCGCCAAAGGCAAGTGCCCCGAGGAGGCGTTCACCTGCGATAACGGTGATTGCATCAGCAAGCGTTGGGTATGTGACGGCGACTATGACTGCAAGGATCACAGCGACGAAAAGGTGAGAGAGCAATTCTAGCCACGAAAATGAATAAAAGCAAATTATTAACGTAAACAAAAACACGACACACATGTGAAAAAGTTGCTGTAAAACAACCCTCCTCGCATATAAAATAATATATAAATATAAATGTATATTTACGAGTATATGTATGAGCCCCAGCTAGGAAGGAAGCATAAATTATGCAGAACGCGAGCATTATTCAAAACAGGCAACCAGACGACCAGCAGGATGAGGACAGCAACGACGATGACAACGACATCAACAAACTGCTGCCCATAAACATTTATGTGTATGATACCAAATTTTTCATGTTTCACGATAGCTTTCGTTGTCAGTTGTGTAGCGCCAAAGTTGCATAGCAACCAACATGAAAAATTTGGTAAAACGCAAACTATCAAACAAATAGCATGGACAAAAAGACGAATATTGTTTGCCCTAACGGGAAGGAGAGCAAAAACACTGTGTGCCCTTCCATAAAAGATGGAGGGAATTTTTGAAGACATATTTGTTTTTCCTTTAGGACTTTTTGTTCCCTTATAATTCAATTTTTGACAGAGTTTTTTTAGACTTCACTCAGTTTGGCATTTAGATGAAGATTTTGAGTACTATCAACACTAATTATACCCGGTACTCGAAGAGTAAAAAGGGTATATTATATTTGTGTGAATAACGGTTGTATGTTACGCAGAGAAGGAAGCGTTTCCGAGCCCATAAAGTATATATATTCTTGATCAGCATCAATAGCCGAGTCGATAGAGCCATGTCTGTCGGTCCGTCTGTCCGTCTTGTTTGTCGGCTAGTTCTCAGAGACTATAAGAGCTAGAGCTACCAAATTTTGGCTCCGGACTGCTGTATGCTCACACTGAAACCAGTGTATTTCAAAAATGAGCCCCGCCCCCTTCCGCCCCCGCAAAAAGGCTAAAACCTCCCAAACCTACAGTTTTGAAGATAAAAGAAAACTAAAAATACCATTCCGTAGGGAATGACCATATCTATCAGATCACCAAATGGGATCATTATTATAGCCACAATGAAGAAATTAATTTCAAGTGGCTAAACCCACCCTGTCCCGCAGCTTTTGTTGTTCTTTTCACATTCTCTCATTCACACTCTGCTTCTGTTTCAGAGCCGGAGACGGAGACGGCAGGGAGACAGAGACGGAGACGACTGAAAATTGGGTGGGGCAGGGCGTCGAATATAAACAAAAAACAAACACACGCCCGCGACGGAGACGGAGACGGCACTCAGACGTCACACACCTCCTCGCACAACCACACGCATCACAACAACTACATCTACTGTCTATTTCTTTTTTACATTTTAAAGACAAATAACTGCTAAGGTGCAGTTTTAGTACTGAGTGCCGGGTATAAAAGTTGTAACGCGTAAGAAGCGTCTCACACGTCCCTTCTCGTTTTTAAATTATACAACTTTTTGAAAACGGCTCAAATTAATATAGAACTTTATTCAATAAATTTAAATTCTTAGACCTTCTTTTTTTAAGTTCTTCGAAAAAGTACGATTTTGTCGAGTAGTGTTATAAAAGCTTATAATAGGCTTCAGACATTATATATACCCTGTATTGTATGAAAATGGGAAAAATCTTGCTTACAGCTCCAAAAATATGCAAGTGCACCATGTACATATATCCACACATGCACATATTTACACCGCATATACATACATACATATGTATGTACATATAAGCATACATGTGGGTTCGTTGGTTGTGATTGTTAGCTGGTGTGTGTGTGTGTGTCTGTTTGTGGCAGCTTGAATATTTGGCTGGCACTTAACGGGAAAAGAAAAAGAAAAACTCTTGTAGTGTGTAGTAAAAGTAAAGTTCCTTCATCCGGAGATTTCCACCCCCGAGCAGCCACAAAAATTCAACTACCTCGAACCTCCTCTCATCCCCTCTCTGTCTGTATCTCCTTGTAGCAAAACTGCAGCATTGATCCAGGACTCTTGATGGGTTTCTGCCAACCGCATGAGTTCTCGTGCAAGGATCGCATCACCTGCCTGCACCGCACCTGGGTGTGCGACGGGGATATCGACTGTCCCGGCGGCGATGACGAAGATCCAGTGAAGTGCCAGAACGTGACCTGCAGGCCGGATCAGTTCCAATGCGGTGATCACAGCTGCATCGCCGGACACCTCAACTGCAATGGGCAGAGAGACTGCGCGGATGGCAGCGACGAGCGGGACTGCAGCATGGGCACACCCTCGAGCGAGTGCAATGTCACCAGCGAATTCAACTGCGGTGGGGGACAGTGCATAGCACTGAACAAAGTGTGTGATAAGCGCAAGGACTGCCCCGATGGCGAAGATGAGCCGGCAGGCAAGTGTGGCGTGAATGAGTGTGCCGCCAAGAATGGTGGGTGCATGCACCAGTGTGTGGATCTGGTGGTGGGCTACAAGTGCGAGTGCCGAAAGGGATACAAATTGTCCGGGGATAAGCGCAGCTGTGTGGACATCAATGAATGTGACAATCCAGACACTTGCTCCCAGTTGTGCAGCAACGAGATCGGGGGATTCAAGTGCGAATGCGAGGCGGGATACATGAGGGATCCACGCAATCACACTCGTTGCAAGGCGGGTGAGGGACATGCCTCACTGCTTCTGGCGAGACGTCACGATATACGGAAGATCGCCCTCGACCACATGGAAATGACGTCGATCGTGAATAGCACAAAGTCGGCGACGGCACTGGACTTTGTGTTTCGCACGGGAATGATCTTCTGGAGCGACGTGACGACGCAGAGCATCTACAAGGCGCCCATTGACGAGGGAAACGAGAAGACGGTAGTGCTAAAACAGTCGTCAGTGACATCGGATGGACTGGCAGTGGACTGGATCTACAACCACGTGTACTACACGGACACGCACAAGTGCACCATCGAGCTGACCAATTTTGATGGCAACATGGCCAAGGTGCTCATTGAGGATGCGCTGGACATACCGCGCTCCATCGCCCTCGATCCCATCGAGGGATGGATGTACTGGTCCGACTGGGGCGCCTCCCCGCGCATCGAGCGCGCCGGCATGGATGGCAGCCACCGCACCACCATAATCAGTTACGACGTCAAGTGGCCCAACGGCATCACCCTGGACCTGGTGCGCAAACGCATCTACTGGGTGGATGGCAAGCTGAATGTCATCTCGTCGGCCAACTACGATGGCTCCCAGCGGCGCCAGATTCTCTACTCCACCGAGTACCTGCGGCATCCCTTCTCCATCACCACATTCGAGGATTACATCTACTGGAGCGACTGGGACAAGCAGACCGTCTTCAAGGCTAATAAGTTCACGGGAGAGGGTGTGGAGCCCATCACAGCGGAACACATGGTGAGCCTCCTGTTTGTTGCTCCTATGTTCCTTCTTCTAACTCTTCTGTGTTCTCGTTTAGCTTCAGAATCCCATGGTGATCCATGTGTATCATCCGTACCGACAGCCCGATGGCATCAATCACTGCCAGTCCGTGAATGGCCACTGCTCCCATCTCTGCCTGCCCGCACCGAAGATCAACGAGCGCAGTCCGCGAATCTCCTGCGCCTGTCCCACGGGTCTCAGGCTGATGCCGGATGGTCTCATGTGCGTCGAAGATCGTAAGTAACCATTTTGTCTCGGTTCTTTTTAGTTCTCTGTGGGGGTAGAAATGCATTTTGTAATTGCATTGAATGAGCCTGCATATTGTCTGTATACCTCAATGCACTATGGAGAATTTTACCACCTTTTCTGGCCAAACTCCATTTTTCAAAACTACCTGAAATTATATATTTTTAGCATTGATGTAGCCGAAAAACATTGATCTTCAAAATGATGTAGACCAAAATGTAACAGAGCCAACCATCGTTAATCTTTCACTTTTTTGAGAATGATAAGGGATCTTTGAAGACCTTTGAAAACCTTTTTTTTAACTTGAACAATTTCACGTGAAACATGAAACTATTCTAAAGAAAATATGCTTAATATGAAATATTGGCTAAATTCCCTAACAATCGTACCATTATAATACAGTTGAGTCAGTTGCAGTGTCTCTGCACTGAATTGCAGTGCTTTTATATCCAAAATATGTACATCTCAAAAACAAAATAGGCTGTTAGTAAAAATCCGATTATCTTCTAGCTTTCCATTTTTGAAAATCCAGACACATCTATTTTTATGCACAACTAATATACAATTTAACAATAAATAAATTCGATTTAAACTGCCATATTTTTTAAATACCTTCCTCTCACTGAGTTATTAATTGGAAGTTACTAATTTTTGCCACAAAAAGAGGTCTAATTCCCCATAGTGCAATAACTTTGCTTTGTGGTGTAGTTGGTCAACACCAACACTCAAGTACACACACGCGCACATGCAGACAGCTACACATACAGCTACGGCATGCAGTTCCTTGTTGCGGTTGCGGGTACTGCGTTCGAAGCTATTAAGCGACCCTTTGCCTTTCCTGAATTCATTGAATTGTATGCTCTCATTTATTCCCTTTTATGAAATTAACTTTAAACCCCGAATTTCTGGCCCTACAGTGCGTGTGAAAAGTGTGCGTACCACTGGACGCAGTAGGACGAAAAATGTTTCCGCAGCAACCACAACGAAACAGCCTCAAGAAGTGCACGCGATAGTGCCGGGTATGATATAGTTTTTGCAGCATTTTATAGTAAAGGTGGAGGTGTACTGTTAGACTAGCGATTATATGTAAGGGTTTAAAGGTTAAAGTCTTCATCCTTATCTCACTATTGCTTCAGTGGTATTATTTAAATATAATTGAAATGATTCATTTGGTGTTGGATTGTGCCCTGTTGCCCGTTCCATGTGACCCGTTTGTGCTTGTCGTTGTCTCTTGTGTGTTTAAATACCTGCATTATGTTTAAAAATGGTCATTGGCCATGTGTCAATGTCATATGTACCTTGCGAGCTGTCTTTAAATGTCATGGCACATCTCTTTTATCAGGAATTTCTGCAACAGCAGAAAGCTGCAGCAGCGACAGCACGCACGTTCACAGCCCCCCTTCATCATCATCATAAATCAACATCAATGAAATCGACGTAATCACTCAAAATGCAAAAACACACATTTTCCCTGTTCCCCTTAGCCTATTCCTCCCATACTTCTATCCGCATCCCGTACACATGCAAAATGCGAACGTAAAACATAAATATCGGGTTCCACCCAGCGACCTAAAACCACAAAAGGGAAGCATTGGTGACATGTTTAATGGCAGCAACAGCTACAACATCGATCCCCTAGTCCACCAACCAGATGGGAAATGCTTAAGCGGGCAAGACCTGAACCCAGGACCGTACAAATTTCACAATTTCTCTATGCAATTTGCGAGCTTCTCTGTCAGCGCTGATGCTGATTCCCGATGCCTGATGCGGATAGCAAATGATGAACGACTGACAACCGCAAGGGTTAGTGTGTGTGGGGGCGGGTTTTGTAGAGACATGCTCAACATGGACAGACAAAAAGACAAGCGGGAGAGTCGTCGCGAAGAAAGCAAATCGTCATGAAATATATAAAGGCAACATGGACAGATATGCCACCCAAAAGGATTCAACAGACTGCAGACACACCAGAGCACTGGCAAATAGTTTGGTTTTGAATTCGTCATCACATTCACATCATCATCGCTGGGTATCATTCTCACCATCATATTCATCGTGAGAAATACTGTCCTAATTGGCACTGTCAACACCTCTCAACTGCAGACGCTTTTGCCAACCGTAGAAATCTTTGCGTTTGGCTGTGTAACAAAATGAATTACGCCCATCAGGCCTCCGGTTGATCCCCAAAATTTTAGCACCCAGCCCCGAAACACTTTTCCACCCATTTGATTTGTCAGCTCCACCCTCTATCTCTCTCGCTGTGTGTTAAAGATTCCTTTGTGATGTGTCCCTGTGTTCTGCTGTGTTCCATATCTCTCGTCTAGTTGTATCTCTTCCCGCATCCATTTCTCGTTTCGCTTGTTGCTATTGATTCAAATTAGAGAGTCTCGACTTGCCGCAGCTAAATGGCATATAATTATTTTTAATAAACGCTCCTTTTGGGCTGCCTCACGTCCTCCACTTTGATCAATTAAACGAACGCAATAAATGGAGGCAGCCACGTAAATCAGAACGACACACAGGCCCTCATGAAAGCAATACTAAATGTTGCTTGCTATTTTAGGCACACATAAATATGGCTAATACAGGGTGCAGACTGCTTGGGCGTTTTATGTACATATGTACATACGTATACAAGCAATTACATATAAAAACATCAATAGCCGATTCGATAAATCCATGTCTGGCTGTCCGTCCGCCTTGTTTCACGACTCTCTCTCAGCGACCAAATTGCGTGTGAAGACTCATGGGATATCACACTCAATCAAGCTTATTTCAAAATTTCGCCCTGCATCCTTCCGCCACCGCCAAAAGGCGAAAATCTCCCAAAGCCACATCTCCTTTTCTTAAAGATAAGAGAAAAGTAAAAGCGCGATTCAGTAGAGATTGGCAATATCTATCAGATCAGTGAATATCGATCAGATTGGATCCTCTTATAGCTAGAATGACAAAATGCATGTCCAGTATCTGCACCCACCCACAGAGTAAATAGGGTATATTGTATTTGTGCACAAACGGATGTATGTAACGCAGAGAAGGAAACGTTTCCGTCCCCATAAAATATTTTGAGAAATTATGAAGATGTATTTGACAGATGAAGAAAAAATTTAAAATTAAAAAAAAAACCGCTAAGGTACAGATGTAGTACTAAGTACCGGGTATAAAAGTTGTGACGCGTAAGAAGCGTCTCACACGTCCCTTCTCGTTTTTTTCTATGCGTTTGCCGAAAACGTTTTCGATGCGTGAATTTCTGCCTTCCAAAATCATGAAAGAAGAGGTATGTATGTTGGCCCTCGGAAAAAAACACGAACGGTCGGTAAGCTTGTCGGGTTACATTTACACTGTCTTGGCGAAAAAAGATGCATGAAAGAACTATTTTTTTTAGAGAATCGGTTCTGTATTTTTTTCATAGTCCAGGTCTCACAAGACCTGGAATTTCTCTGTGTTATACTGACTCTTCCCGGCCAGTCTATTTATGTCACTTGCTCGTATATTCCACCGTCTTCGGATGTACTAATATACGAGCAGCATTTGTCTGCCTTAAAAACGGTTTCTTCCTCGCTATCTGATAAAGACCATTTAATAGTTCTTGGGGATTTCAACCTGCCAGGTACTGTCTGGTCTTCGGTTAACGAGTCAAACAACCTTGTGCCCATGTCACGACATGAGTTTATTGATGGCTTATTAGACCTGTCCCTGTCTCAAGTCAACCATGTAAAAAACTCCTTGGGTCGATTGCTTGATCTGTGCTTTGTCTCGGATTCGACCGTAGCGTTGTTAACACGAGCACTCCCGCTCACTATACCTGAAGACTGCTATCATCCTACTTTCGAAGTGTCGATAGATATTGGACCTACTGTATCGGATCGTGCGGGTAGGCTATCTGAACGCGTCCG